CCTGATCGAACGATCCTGTTCTGCCATGATGTCTGGCTCAACCTCACGAGGTGGTGGTGTATGGACGACAGGTGATGAAGCCTGCCCTCTCGGTTGACGATTCTGGGTTAGGGAAGGCCTAGGAGTTGTGGATGTGGTAGGCTGCTTCCCTAACTTGACCTGCTTCCTGTTCTGTCGGCAGGTCCTCTCTATCTCTGGATCAAGTGGCAGTAAATTGCCAGTCGTCCTCCTTGGCATGCACAAGGAGGATAAACCTGAAAAATTCACCTGCACACTAACACCCAGATCAAAATAGTTCACTCACAAAAATCAACAAAAAATAAGGTATGGCAGTCCCCGGCAACGGCGCCAAAAACTTGATAGGGCAAAAGCGTAATGCCAATTCCTATCTTGTAGTAATCCGGAAAGTCCGGGTATCGTCTCTCAGGGACTGGTACAACCTTAAGTTCTATCAATTTTTATTGAGCAAACTATATGTGAAAATGTTTAATGAGATGAAACTATGATCTAATAGCAAAGTAATTAAACAAAACAAGCAAATTAAAGTGTCGGGTTTAAATCTATGGGAGAAAGCTCTGGGAGAAACACCGGGATTCACTACCTATCCTATCCAGAGTAATTCACATATTCCAATCAATTTAATCCATACCTCTACAGCCAGGATATCACAAACGTGCTAGCTATCCCTGTCGGGAATTACTACGTACTAAATAATCAATTCAAATCCTACTGTCGTAGCTCAATGAATTAACTATATAGTCTGAAGATCGATATCCTATTTAAGACCGCATAGCACCTTATTTAATTCACTGTCGCTTCGATAAGTTACTATGTCACATGAAATAGGTTCAGTTATTAGGGTTTCACTGTCGCTAATAACCTAATTAACTACGATTCATTGTATTGGTGGCCAGTCAACACAAAGCATTAAGCAATTTCATGCAATAGAGATTGGAAGAAAAGAATTACGAATCAATCCATCAAATCAAGAAATAGCTACATCCTATGGTGTTTCCCCCAGAAATTGGGGTTTAGTTCATGATAAAAATAAAGCACTTAATCATGTTTATAATCATCATCGAATCGATGCAAAAGAAGAAGAAAAATACTGATATTTCTTCCCCGCTGCTCCACTCGTTCTGCTCCGCAGCTTGCGATCGCCCCCGCTACGCTGCGCCCTCTTCCTTTTCTTTTTCCCACCAGAATTCCGTCCCTTTCTCCCCAAAAGCCAAAGACACCCAGCCATTAAAAGTCCCCTAGTTCCGTGCCTCTTTTTTCCCTGTCCCAAAAAATTGCTCTCACTAATTAATTCCTCCTCCGACAAGCTTCCACTTCCCTTCACGACAAGCCCAGGACCCAGGCCCAAAAAGAATCCCCAGCCCGTAAAAGTCCAGTCCCGGTTCAACTCCTCAATAAGGTCCGGTCCAATTAATAAATAAATGTACATCCAGTCCACTTGAATTATTCTATCTACCAATGCAAATTTCTCGTTTCATTTACCTGAAATATATAAAATATTTGGCACTTGATGGTAATGGTTTTGCAACCATTCCATAGTCAATTAGGCTTCGAACAAGCAATATATGTCTCAAACATATCATGCAATTATCACATTAAACACACAAAATCAATATGTTTTCGACAATTATCATGTGCCCTATTTTTGCATCTAAAACACAACTATCATCCAATGCACCCCCAATATGGCATGAAATTCTCTGAAGAACACATTTAGTTTGGTATGCAAATGACGATATATTAACCATTGAGACCATAGAATGACATGAAAACACCTAGAATACGGAGACTAAATAACACTGACTTTGGTATCCACAAATTTGAAAGGAAAGCCACATTCAACCCACCATAAAATTCCTACTCAAATATGATAAAAGCTACAAAACTTCCAAATTTTAGAACGACAAGAAGGAGCCATCCATAATTGACAGGTTGAAGAGTTGGAGCAGAAAATGAGTTGGGAAGCTAAGAATTGGTATTTTAAAGGATTGGTGGGTAAATTTGAATGAGACGGTTTGATTTGATCTTATTCATGATAAAGTGACTTTAAATACAATAAAATGTAATACGAAGTCATTTACAGCTGGTCACCATCTTCTTCCATTAGCTTTAAAACCAATCATCCCATTCCATTCTCCTTTTTAAATTTTACTTCAATTCGAGCCGCTCGCCATCTTTATCTTTGATTGGTGTCAAACATGACTTTTCCCTTCCATTCTTCTTAGATATTATTCAATTTAAGTCGCCTGCCATCTTGTTATCTGATCTGCTTCAAACCCAACCTCCCTTTCCATTCTCCTTGTTCTTCGATTTTGCTTCAATTCCAGCCAACTACCATATAATTTGATTTGCTTCAAATTCAGTTTCCCCTATCATTTTTTTCTTCTTCGATATTATTCAATTATAGCCACCCACAATCTCATTCTTGTTCGATCTGCTTCAAACCCAGCTGCCCCCTACCCTTCTTCTTCACCTTACTTCAATTACACTTGTCTGCTGACATCTTCTTCTCTGTTCTTTGAACCCAACTAGTGACTCCAACTTCAGTTATGGATATCATAGAAGTAACTAAAAATGCTTTCTGTTTTTTTGTTGCCAACCGCAATTATTTCCCATCATTACCAACTAAATATATTTTTGTTTTCTATTATTATGTTGTTTTGATTGCACACATGTTGTCACAAACTCTAATGCAACCACAACAACGAAAACGATGTTAAAAGTAGGGGTGGTAAACGGCTAGTCGGCTATCGATTTTAATCGATAAGAAAACAGATAACGATTGTTAGTGTTTAACCGATAACCGCCACTAATTTTTTAGAGATTTGGTTTCGGTTAGTTGTATTTTGCTAGCGATTAATTGATAAGAAAAACGATAACTATGTGGCTTTGGGTAAGGGGAAAAGTGCCAAGATATACCAACCAAATTTGCAATTCTAAACTTCCCAATTCACACAAACAACCCTCCACTCGAAGTCTCAAATATGTTTAAGACTCACAACCCAAAAATCATCACTCTCTTACTCCCCTTGCAGTGGACAGAGCGAAGCTCAAACCCTAGTAGTCTTTGTTTATTTGACGTTTATGAATTATAATGATCTTGTGATGCTTGTGTTTGATGTCTTGTTAGTTGATACTCGCTAACTGAATTAAGACTTTTGATTATTTATAATTTTATGTGTTGGCATTTGGACTATTAATTCTGTATATATGTTGTATTATATTGATGTTATTTTTTATTAATTATTATTTCATTTTAACAAGTAGAAAGGTAGTTAAATTATTTTTAATTATTTGTATGATTATATATTAGTATTCAAAAAGGTACTATATAAAATTCCAAATAACAGAAGAAAAATGTTACAGTGGAGGTTGTTATTGATTAGTGATTCTCGATATGCATTTTTTGCTTAGTGGTTAATCGAAATCGAAAAGATTAAGACCCCTTGTAAAATGATTCTAAGAATATAGAGTTTAAAATAAATGATGATTCGTCAATGATAACTATGCTAAAAATGTCTATCCATTGTGATAACTTTCTAAAAATATCTAAGAATATAGAGCTCTTGAGGTAGATAGCGAGTAACAGAATGTGAAAATGTTATTGTTTGGATGACTTTTTAATAAGTGGATTGTGGGTCTTAATATCAAAATATCAAATTATCCTTGCTACTTTCACTTCTTATTATTTTCGTAATTTTTAGTGATAGGGTAAAGAATTCAAAACTCAACATTATCGCAATGAAAATTCAAATTTCTTTAAAGATGGATATTCCTAAAAATAAATACTTTATCTAATATTCATATATATTAGCCAACATATTATAGGTTAGGATTTTCATTTTAGTATTATTACTAAATTATTTTATTGTATTCGTTCATATGATGCCTCTTAGATAAAGTTTCAATGAAAAATAACAAGTTTGACACCAGTATTCTATGAGTTTATATTAATATGTATTTTACTTTTAATATTTTTCTATGTTTTATGTTGAATTAGTAAATATATCCTTTGTTTAAATTAAACCAAAATATAATTTGGTGTTATATGTGTAATTTATCCACAATCCTTAGTTTACGAACTATATATTTTCATATGGGTAGTGTTAAAGGTGGGGAAAACATATGGATGGATCGTACCTTACTTCTAGGAAAGTGATGATTGTTATTACGGTTCACACCTCTTCAAACACTGCTCGAATGAGGGTGTTTAGTGTATGTGGAATCTAAGTTACCTTATAGTATTCCTATGGAGATTCCTTCGGAGTTCTGCAACTACAACTAAGACTACGACTATGGAGGATCCTTCACGGAGGAGCAAACTACAACGAAAGAGGAAAAATCGACAGTTGAGATAAGTTGTCTGTGTATTGGATTGTCATTTTCTCTCCTTCATCCAGAAGCTTGCTTCAAGTTTTGTTGCAAAGAGTCATCCAACTACTCTCTCTCTCTCTCTCTCTCCTCTTACCGAAAAATAGCTTCGTAGTATCTAAGCTAGCGACTAGTCGTCAATGGATGGGCTTAATTGCAAGATTGGTCACTCGAATTGCTATAAAATTTCACGTTTGGCACTCAAATTAATTTATTCCATTTATAGTCACTCGAATTAGTTGAACAGTTCAAGTTCGGTCACTCTCCGTTAACCTCCGTTAACTTTGACTGACGTGGCGGTCAACTCTGACCGTTGACCGTTAAATGTGTGACGTGGCAAATAAAAACTAATTAAAAATTAAATTTTTAGAAATTACACATCATTATAAAAAAAATATAATTATACAAAATGAAAAAATAAATTATCGCAAAAACTTAAACTGCCGCTCTAACACCTTCCCCACCACACGCTCTCCTCCGCCTCTCTTTCCGGCCGCCGCAACTGCTCAACTCTAAGCGGCAGCGATGGATTCCTCTTCATCGTCGCTAGAGAGTTGCCCGAGCTTCTCCCCTTCCTCTCCGGAGTACTCCGATTCGACGCCGCGCGGATCGGCTGCTGCCGCTTCCCCTTCCTCCTCTGCAATCTCCCGAGCGCTCCACCTCGTCAAATCCGAGAATCCGGAGTCCAAGGTCGAGGCGGGAACCTTGCGGAACAACCACCGAGGAGATTCCGGAAGAAAGATGATTAGCAAGAACTGCAGTAAAGCAGGAAGTCCTGCAGCTCCCAGCATCCATCTCCACGTCCCTGGAACCTGAAACAACAACTCACTCAACACCCTCAAAAGCCAATACGAGTTCAAATTAAATTACAGAGCTAGCTACGTACCTTGGTGAAGGCCAAGTTGAGGAGGTAGGAAAGGAACTGGCCAAAAGTGATGAGGAGGTTATTTGTACTGACAAGGGCACCTCTAATTTTCGCCGGAGATGCCTCCGAGATGTAGAGAGGGGAGGTCATTGAGGCCATTCCAACTCCAAGAGGACCAAGACCCACAAAAGCCCTCCCTGTGATGAGCGCAGCTGGTCCAGGGGAGGTAGCCATGATCACAGCTCCGACGAAGAAGAGGAAATCAGCCACTACAAGTGCACTTCTCCTTCCAAGCCTATCGTTTACCCATCCACCAATGCCCGCTCCCGATCCGCGCGGCGTCAAATCGGAGTACTCCGGAGAGGAAGGGGAGAAGCTCGGGCAACTCTCTAGCGACGATGAAGAGGAATCCATCGCTGCCGCTTAGAGTTGAGCAGTTGCGGCGGCCGGAAAGAGAGGCGGAGGAGGGCGTGTGGTGGGGAAGGTGTTAGAGCGGCAGTTTAAGTTTTTGCGATAATTTCTTTTTTCATTTTTTATAATTATATTTTTTTATAATGATGTGTAATTTCTAAAAATTTAATTTAATTTTTTAATTATTTTTTATTTGCCACGTCACACATTTAACGGTCAACGGTCAGAGTTGACCGCCACGTCAGTCAAAGTTAACGGAGGTTAACGGAGAGTGACCGAACTTGAACTGTTCAACTAATTCGAGTGACTATAAATGGAATAAATTAATTTGAGTGGCAAACGTGAAATTTTATAGCAATTCGAGTGACCAATCTTGCAATTAAGCCTCAATGGATGTGTATGGACACGTTATAGTTTCATTTTAATAACCCACCATGTTGTCATATTAGATTGGATCGTCACTATACTTTAGCATGGATGGTACAATCCAGTTAGCAATTTCGATGGTATCCATGATAATTGATAAAGGATGGTACCATCCACATAGGGGCTAGATTGTGTCCATGATGTGGGATGGTTACCCATGGCACTATCTATTTTGTGGTTGGATGGTATCCATCATGTTGGATGATACCATTCACTTTGAGGCTAGATTGTTACCATGGAACTGGACACATGGTGAACAAGTACTAAACGATCATCTTGCCCTAAGTATTATCCACAAATATACTGCCCATCTTGATATCTAATATGAATGGAATCATCTATATAAAGTGACACACTGTTCAAAATAATCCACATAGTGTTTTAAGGTAAAAAATAATTTGGTGTAAACAGGTAGGTTGGAATTCGGAAGAGAAAAAATTCAAAATCAAACAAAGGTAATGTATTATTTGTCTTATTAGAAGACAACGTGTGATGTGTTTAAAGCTAGGTATGGCCAGCGGTGGATCCAGGATATGGTAGAGCACTGGGTCGCATTTGAGCAGAAAATTAGATACTGTAAACAAAAATATATAATAACTATAGTTTCCATTACAATGTCAATTGCACAAGCCGGTCTTTTAATCTAGCAAATTCATCAATAATTGAGTCTTCATTCATACCAATAATATATTCTCTCTAAAAGAAAATAGTTAAGCAATCAACCAAATATTCAACACCCATTTTGTTGCGCAAATCAGTCTTCACATGCATTGCTGAAAAGGATCTCTCCATTATAGTTGTTGAATCTAGAAATGCCAACACAAGACGAATCAACCAACATATCAATTTTTACTTTGTGTCCATCTCTGTTTCCACAAGTTTCTCTAGCAATTTTACAAGGGAAGAAACCTCATATTCATGACTACGAACCACAAGTTGCATTGGACATGTTTATAATGCTCAATATGGAATGATAATGAGATCCCCAACGAGTTGGTCCCAAACGCTTTAAGGATATCATTTGATTAGCTCATTGTCCAGATTGAATATCTCCAACATCCAACATACCATCAAGATCTCTTTTGTGAATTGCTTGCGACTCTCTAATCTGTTTAGGAGATTCCTTCACAACATTTATGATACAATCCAATAAGGAAAATAAATCCCATAGAGGATCACATAACTTTAAAGAAGTAATTAATGCCAATTGTAATTTGTGAGCAAAACAGTGGACAAAGTAGGAATATGTGCAATGTCTAAGAAACAATGCCTTGACTCCATATGAACTGACATAGTACTAGCACCATTATATCCTTGACCTCTCAATTTTTCAACTTGAAGGTCACATTGAGAGAGAACGTCACAAATAGCTCGTTTAAGTGTTTTTGCAGAAATTTCAGCTACATTTTTAGAGCAAAAAAGCATTCAGTTTCATCCACAAGAGCTAACATATCTCAAGAGCTAACATACCTCAAAATAATAGACATTTGTTTCCTTCCAGTTTCATCAACTGCTTCATCAACAAGGATAGAGAAACAATAATCCTCAATTTCCTCACATATCTTGCAATGCACTCAATTTGCTATGATTCCCAATTTCTCTTTCTGAATGCTTGGTGAAGTGTATTTCGCATTCCTTGTTGCATAGAACTACACTATGGATTTGATCATTGAACTTTGATGCAAAACCAATCAAAGCTAGAACATTCCTCGGATTCAAAGAATCATCAAATTTTGATGCCCTCTAAAAGAACTTCCTTATAAAGCCAATTGTTTGACAACCATAATTGTTGTTTTCAATCTCAATCGATGTTTTAGAACTTCTTCTTCTCCACTAATTCTCTGAATCACTTCATCAGTAATACCGGAGGGTTTCATCAATGCATAAGCTGATGCAACACATTTATTATGAACTGATGAAGCTAATGAACCAACATGGAGAAGGAACACACAATCCTTCCATGGAAGAAAGTTTGACTTCCATGCATCTTATCTTTGAATAAAAAGCATGGGAAACAATATTCTTTATGTGTTGTAGGTGAATACTCCAGCCAATCAAATTCTGGGGCTTATAGTACGTGAGTTTGGGCTGATAAACCTTGTGTATTAGGTAATTTCTCCTAACTACATCTCTTAACCTGGCATCCCAATCACATATATTTTCTTCTTTCTCATATCTCTTTCAACTTCAATTCCATTGCCAGATGATTGTTGTAGATTATCATATAGAGGAGTAGACGATTGGTTTTGAATTGGAGAGGAAGATAATTGACCTTCATTAGGAGGGACTTCTTCGTTCTGACACATTTCAGATTCCTTACGTTGATAGTATGAAAACAATGTTGTTTTCGCCTTTTTAGTTGGTGGTTGAGAAGATGTCAGGAGAAAAGCCAAATATGAAATTTTACATTAATGCACAAAATTAGTCATTCGCATCATCAATAAACAAGTATATGAACCACAACACAAATACAAAAAAAAATCGATAAACTACAATAACATATAATAAATACTTTAATCACTAATTTTACAGAAATTGTACATTATTACATTACTGTAATGCTTCTGTTGGCGACTGTTGATTTGCATATGTGCAGGTCTGCAGGAGAAAGATGGTTTGTTGCTGCTGCCTACTAGTCGAGCTCGTAGTGGATTGGCAAGAAATTTGGGTCGTTGGTTCGGAGGTTTAGAGCAACGAAGAATCGAAGATCCCCTCCTTCGATCCTTCCTTTGCCCTTGTTATGGGTTACTGGGTTTGGCCTTTTTATTTTTGCTTTCTTTTGTTGGCGGCAGGGAAGGGCAAGGATTAGTATGGGTAGGGATTAGTGGTACAATTGGAGAGTTGGGGTTTGGGAGGGAGAGAGAGGGTTGGGCCCTAATTAGTGAGGGGGATGGGCTTTAGATTTGTGGGTAACTGAGTAGGTTGACCATGGGGAGAAGGGCTGGGCCCGATCCTATTGTGACCCCCTGGTTTTGCCGGTGGGCAGGGCTAAAATTGTTTCTAGGTTAAAGAGATTAAAAAATATCAACCATCCTAAAATACATACAAGAATTCACCACTTAAAAAACACGCCACCGCTATATTTTACCCAAATTAACCAGTAAATTGATTTACGCCGACATGACTTTTGACTCGCTAAAACACAACACCAAACTGCGACCAAGTATAATCGCAGAATGGAAATGCATAATAGTGGGTAAGTGTAATTTGTCAATCTGTGGTCTAGATCTACTGGCTACTCCTTGAACTTCTTTTATCTAGCGGGATTAGTTGAGTAAAATGTGAATTTAAACTAAAGCAGAAAGAAAGCAGTAAGTTATCAGTTTTCAGAAGCAAGAGAAGTGTCACTCGGGATTGAGTCCCCCTAGCTCCTTAGTTAGGTTCAAGTTGTAATTCCTCTTTAGTTGATTCACTGTTGATTAAACTACGAAAGATCCAAAAATAGCTTGGAATCTCATAAGCTGACCAAGTCCTCTCAAACAGACTAACCAGCAGGCGACTAGTGTTCACCGGGATAGACTGCTAAGGTAATTCACACAGAACTCCACTACTGAAAACTGATTCCAGTACATAACAGTGAATTGATTGACTCTCATATAATCAATTCACTCATATCGATTGAAGAAGCTCTAACAACCTAATTAGATTCTATATATCATAGGTTGAAGCAGAAATCAAGAGAAGTTGATCGGGATTCAATTGACTCAATAAACACACTTCAATCAATTAGAACCAATCAATATATCATCCCAAAATTCATTACAATCAAGATCCCTAACACATGGAACGAGGATTCTTCATACCCAAGTGAGAGAAAGGTCTAGTCAATAGAGAGAGAGAGAGAAAAATAGAAATCAAAGCATTCATACTCATAAAGATGGAAATAATCTGATTTGGGATGTCAATCTTTACTCCTGGAGACGCAATGTGGGCTTCAATGGTGAGAAATCCACTCCAAATAGCTCTTACGGTTTGCTCTTCGTCACTTTATCTCTCTAGAACTATGTTTTTTATCCAATTATTCGAATCCCCTTCCTTTGGCTCGAATCTGCCTCTTCACCCCGATTCTAGGCGAACTACGGGCAAGAATACGCGCATATTTCTTCTATGCCCGTATTTTGTCCAAAACGCGCGTTTTGGTTAAGTCGATGCGCAGAAATCCACGGTCTCGTATGGGGGAAATACTTGCAGTATTTGGGAAAATACAACCATAATTTTGTCCCGTCCTGCCCATATTTTGTCTTTCCCAGAAATCTTCCAGAGTTGGCCTCAACAATAAAAATACGGGCTAGACATTAAGGAAATACGACCGTAATTC